CAAAACCCAAGGAAACATAACGCTTGCACAAGAAACCCTCTCAAACCTCATGTAATTCAACAAGAAAAACCGAAACTTCCAAGCCAGCCAGACGGATAGTACGGAAGGTGGAGGCCCAGGGCTTGCGCCGTCTTCAGAATGGTCCTCCCTGCTGCCCCAGCCACCGCGCCGGAGTCACCGGACTCACCGGACACGCCGGCCACCGGACACACCGGACACACCGGACTCACCGGACTCACCGGGAACCATCGGACCCACCAGACCCACCAGACCCACCGGTCCCACCGGACCCACCGGACTCACCGGACTCACCGGACCCACCGGACCCACCGGACCCAGCGGACCCGCCGGACCCACCGGACTCACTGGACTCACCGGACCCACCGGACCCACCGGACACGCTGAATTCGCGACCCACCGGACTGCTACGGAACGCCCATGCAGACCAGCTCTGTGAATGATCTTCGTGGGATGCTGGGCGATGGGTTCGATAACAAAAAAGAAAAGAGGACAACGACTAAATGAATGGTTTGGGTGAGGAGGAGGAGCGCGATAAGGCAGGAGATACACGACACCATGTTCTAATAACCATCAGAATGTGGAGGGAGACGATGATCATAGCGGCGACGGTGGTACTGATGATCCTCTGATAAGGAGGAGGAGAAGAAGGAGGAAGAGGAGGAGGAGGAGGAGGAGGAGGAGGAGGAGGAACACGGGCCACCAGAAAAGCCATATGTTTCTTGAATTACTCTCGGAGTATCTTCTGGTTTCTCTTGGGAGTGAAATGGAGGAGGAGGAGGCGGAAGAGGAGGTAGAGGAGGGAGAGGAGGGAGGAGGGAGGAGGAGTAGGAGTAGGCGGATCGGGAGGAGGAGGAGAAACATGATGATGATGATGATGATGATGATGATGATGATGATGATGATGATGATGATGATGGGGAGGAGAAGGAGGAGGACGAGGAAGATGAGTAGGAGGATGAGGAAAAGGACGAACATAAGAGCCTCCTTGGATGTCCCTGGGGAGTTTTTTTGAGGCCTCTTGGAGCATCTGGGGGGCGTCTTGGGTGCCTCGGGGATCCTCTTGATGCTTCTTGGGAGTCTCTTGGGAGCCTATTAGAGGCCTCTTGGGGCCATCTGGGCGCCTCTTGGGGCCCTCTTGGGGCGCTCTTGGGAGCCTCAGGAGCGCTCTTGCGGCCATATTCGAGAGGGTCGATCAACGAAGGGGGGGAACTTCAATTACCATCGCCCCTCGGGAGCTCCAAACATCGCCTCCAGGACCCCTCTTGGGGCGCTCTTGGAGCGCTCTTGGGCGCTCTTGGGGCCGTCTTGGGGCTCTCTTGGGCCCCTCTTGGGGCCCTCTTGGGCCCTCTTGGAGCCATCTCAAGGCCTCGGATGGCCATCGGAAGCGACAAGGCGAGAAGGCACAAATCATGTGTTCTCCATTGTTTTTTGACGGATTTTGGCCTCTTGGAGGTCTCCTTGGAGAGCTAATTGGCCTCTTCGAGCCAGCTTGGGGCGGTCTTGGGGCCTCTTGGAGCATCTTCGGAACCATCTTGAGGCATCTTAGGCTATCTTGATTCATCTTGGAGCTCATCTTGGGCTCTCAGATGCGCTCTTGGAACCGTCCCCGGCGAACATGTACCGTCTGACACCTCGCGGGGCGGCCCGTCCAGGTCCAGGGGAGGCCCCTGCCCGACGGGGAAGACGGGGGGTGGAAGAGGAAACTCCCTAAACCACCTACGCCCACAGGGCTGGTGGGATTTTGTGGTGGACGGGGAGTTATATCACATGATGGTGGTGACTAAACTTACAACCATGCTCACACAGACGGCGATGATCATGATGGTGTTGGTGATTTTGATGGCACTGGCAATGCTGGTGTTGACCGTGATTTTCATGACGATAGGGTCGGCAGCATGATGATGATGATGTTGAGAAGGAGGAGCAGGAGGATACATCGTCGGATGAGTTTTCATGGGGCTGTGAGCTTCTCAAAGGGCCGTGGCTTGCTAGAACATACGCGCCATAAATGAACCGGTGTCTGGGCCGACGCTCGAGGCTCGCTGTGCGCTGTGCGCATGAAAGTTCCTTCGTTATCTTATTTCAGTGAGTTACGTCATTCCGCCGGCCCCCAGGACGAGTGAGACCTTGCGACGACCATGGGAGTTCTCTGGTGGGACCGTGGCGTCTTATCGTACGTAGTTGTTTCTGGCCAGCACGAACAGTAATTCCTCATTGTGTATTTTTAATGTTGCGCAGGGGCGGTTCGGGTTTGCGTCGGCGTTGGCGTTTACGTCGGCGTCGTCGTGGTCGTGGCCGTCGTCGTTCGATTCGGGTTCGTCGTCGCCTTCGCCGTCGCCATCGCCGTCACCGTCGACGTCGTCGTGGTCGCGGCCGTGGTCGTCGTCATTTCGATGGCGACGGCGTCGGTGTCCCAAATCGCATTGTGGTCGCAGGTGCTGCCCCCTATTTCGCCCAGACGATATAAGACGATACAAGACGATAAGACGATATAAGACGATATAAGACGATAAGACGATATAAGACGATATAAGACGATAAGACGATACAAGACGATATAAGGCGATGCAAGACGATACCATACTCTTGGACGGTTCAGGACGATAGGACGGTACAAAACGATATCACACTATATCGTCTTATCGTCTCATCTCGTATTATATCGTCTTATCGTCTTATGTCGTCTGATTTCGTCTTATATCATCATATATCGCTCTATGTCGTCTTATGTCGTCTTATCGTCTTGTATCGTTTTATATCGTCCCATATCGCCTTATCGTATATCGTTCTACTTCGTATTTTCGTTTTCTGTCGTCTTCTACCGTCTTATGTCGCCCTATACCGTAGTATACCGTCTTATGTCGTCTCGTATTGTGCTAGCTCGTGCCAGTTCTCATTATATCGTCTTATATCGGCTTATCGTCTTATGTCGTCTTATATCGTTTGCTCGTCTGGGGGGCGAGGAGCACACCGGACAGATATCTTCGCTTGCTCTCTGACGAAATATGATATCGACTTTAATCGTAGTACCGTCTCATGTATTACTTTAGTGCTATATTGACTTAAAGTTCTGGACGAATAGGACGGAGCACCTCCGACCAATCTCAATGCGCGCTTTCGAGGGGCAAACAAATGAGAAACAAGATGAGGTCGAAGAGGGGGAGGAGGAGGAGGAGGAGGAGGAGGAGGAGGAGGAGGAGCAGGAGGCAGAGAGACAAAGAGTACCAGGGAGAACCGCGCCTCAGCATTGATCAGTCTGGGCTCCGCTGAATGACGGAAGTGTGCGTGTGTGTGTGTGTGTGTGTGTGTGTGTGTGTTCCGTGCTACGTCGCGGTGTGCCGTGCTTTTCTCTCGTTTGTTTCTTGTTTCTCCTTCCTTGCTTCTCCACCTCGTCACCTCTCTACTTCTCCCTCGTGCTTGGGCCATCTTAGGCAATATTGGCAATCTTGTAGGCCATCTTGGCCGTCTTGGAAAAAATCTTTTGTGGACTGTGCGATTCTTTACGGGTCTATACGGCGGTGGCGGGATGGGCCGAAGCCCTAGGGAGAGTTCTTTTGGAAAAGAACCCAAACCAACACGTAAGAAGTCTAGCACGCCAGGCACCTCTGTGATGAATCAACAGGTGGCGGCGGACCTAGCGGCCTTCGGCCCAACCCGCCACTGTGTCTAGGCTATGTGTCCAGAGGCTCGTCGATGTATCTGTGGGTCTCATGGGATGCCTCTCAGGGGCCTGTTGGAGGTTTGTTGGCGGCATCGCACCCTCATCCTCATCCTCGTCCTTCTCACCCGCATCCTCATCGTCATTGGCGTCAGCATCATCCTTCATCCTCGTCGTCCTCACCCTCTTCGCCCTCTTCGTCCTCATCCTCATCCTAGTCCTGTTCCTTCTTATTACGTAGTCTGTTCAGCCTCATCGTCATCATGACCTGCATCCTCCGCGTCCTCTGCATCCTCCTTGCCCTCATCATCCTCGTCATCATAGTTGTTTCTGTCCATCCACATCCGCATCCGCCCTCCCTGTTCTCATCCCCCTCATCCTCCATATTCCTCGTTTTCTCACCCTCGTCCTCCTGATGCCCATGATCATCCTCATCGTAACCATCATCCCCGCATCTTCCATACCTCATCGCCCTGGCCCTCATCATCTTCTTGGTCCTGAGGCCCGGTACCTTTAAAATCAGCGTGTCGCCTGAGACATCATCAGAGAAGTGGATATGTTGAACTCGGTGGCGAAAGCTTCGGATCTTCGAAATGGGGCTCTCGCCTGAGACATCTTTAAAACATGAGATGCTGAAGTAGCTGCTGTATGACATCTTTTTGGGGGCGCTCTTGGAGGACCCCCAAAAAGACCTCTCGGGGTGGGGGCCCAGAACCCATTTTGAGCGGATTTCGTCAGACTCCCCAGTTTCCTTGCTCCCGGGTCCCTTGTCGGTGCACTGGGTTGTCGACAGCCCGATCGTTTTGGCCGCGCGTCGCCGAGGTCTGTCTGCGTCACCCGTCGATTCGGCAGTGCGTTCCCGCGGGCGATTCGCGCGCCTCTTTGCTAGGCGACAACGACGACGACGACGACGATTACGACGACGACGATTACAACGACGACGACGACGACGACGGCCGTGGCTTTCGATTTGATCGCCGCGGCTGAACACGCCGCCGCCGCTGTTGTCGTCGTCGTCGTCGTGTCGTCGTCGGCGTCGGCGTCGTCGTCGTCGTCGTCGCTCGGGCCATTAAATTTCAATGTTCGCTACCAACTTGTATTCCACATCATTCCGTAATCATTTTGGCTCAAGCCTTTCGTTGTGCCCAGCTGTGCGCGCAGTAGTGTGCGCAGTGTGCCGATTTGCAGCAGTGTGCGCAGTGTGCTTTGCGAGCTGCAGGGCGCACGCGCCTCCACTGGCGTGCCGGGTCTTCAGCGCCGCCATCGCGACCGGGCTTGCGCCGCCGCACCCGCTGGCGCGCGCCGCCGCCCTGACGCTGGCATGGTCGTTCCCGTCGTTCCCGGCGGTGATGTGGACGACGGGCAGTCGGCGGGTTCTGCGCGGTGCGAGCTGGAGCAGCCGGGGGCGCAGAAGGGGGCGAAGTGCCCGCGCTGCAACCCGGCTTGCGGAGTCAACCGCTGGAACGCCGCCAAGGATCGGGGGTTGCTAGATGTGCCCTCGGCCAAGGTGTCCCCGCAGTCCCCAGGCCGCCCCCCGCGCAGCCCACGAGTCCTTGGGGTTCTATTCCCATTGCGCTGGGGGGCATTTTGGGCCAAGGGCACTTCTGGCAACGCCCGAAAGGAGCGCTACGTGCCCTTCCATCGGGCGAACGCCGCCGGGGAGCGCTGCCCTTGCGCTGGCAGCCACGGCGGCGCGCGACGCGGCCCGGGCCCCAAGCGGGACAGCGCGCCAAGCTGCCAGTCTCTGGGGCCGGCGCGCAAGGCGCGGCGCGCCATGCCGGAGATGGTCGAGCACGAGGCCGCCGACGACCAGCTGGAGCGCGTTCTACAGGGCGACGAATTGCTCGCTGATTTTCACGCTCCGGAATCTGCGACGAGTCCTGACAAATACGCCCAGACAAAGTTCACGGCGCACGCCGCGCGGCTCCCAGCCCGCCTGGTCGAGGCCGGCGCCCTCGTGGCTGCCAAGCACGGGTTCCGGAACAAAGCTTTGTGGGAGAGCTTTTTGTTCTTCACCGCCAGCCTACTTCGGCTGCAACCCCCCGAGCTGCTTCGAGAGGGCGCGCGCGAGCGGTTGGCCGACGTGGCCCTGGAGCGGCACGAGGACGACGTGCTCGCGGGGAAGTGCGTCACGACCATGCTTGACATGGGATGGCGGTCGCGGTCGGACGCAGCGCAGCTGTATCGCCGGTTCTTCCCGCGGCAGGCGCTCTGCGAGCGGACGCTGGGGCCGTGGGTGTTTGCTCTGCGCGTGTTCCGATATCCCGGCTCCATGGAGTTCGTCGAGGCCGCGCTCCGCGGGTACTCGGGGGCCGAGGTGTCTGCCGCTTTCTCGAAAGCCATCGGCGAGGACGAAGAGGAGACGCTTCTCGCTCTTTTCACGGAGGGCTTGCAGCTGGAGTTTACTTTGCGCGCGAGCATCACGGCGGCCTTCGACCCGCGCGATGGCCGCAGGCAGGTGTACCGGGAGGAGTGCGAGCGGGCGTCTCCTGACGACAAGCGCGGCGACCATATGCTCAGGGCCATGCGGCAGTGGTATGAGCACGCGCCGGCGATGGCGACGGCGGTGATGGATGTCTACCGCGCGCTCGCAGCGTTGGATGGGCCTTCCCTCGGCACCGCGTGCCTGGCGCTGATGGGCGCGATTCTTGATCTCGAACTCTTGGGGCGACCTTTCGCGGACCCCTTCCTCTCTGTCGAGGAGAAGTCATCGTGCTACTACGCTAAATTTATTTTAGACAGCATATACTGGCTCGTGGGGTCGGCTTGCTGCTCGTCGGGCGAGAACCGGGACGCCGGTTTTCCGGCGGGTGGGATGAAGCCCCGGTGCGCATGCGCGGCCTCCAGGCTTCTCCTTCGGGCTCGCGGGAAGCACATGTTTATCGGGCCGGCCCTGCGAGAGCTCATCGTGTCGCTGCGTTGTCCAGCGCGCGGCGACAAGGCTGGCCTGGTGCGGGGCGTATTGGGAGCGGCGCAGGATCTCCTTCCGGATTTCAATTCGCTGTTTCTGTGCGACTTGGACTTGTACGCCCTGCAGTTCTTTCCGTGCATATGGGGCAAGTGGCTCATGGCAGTCCAGCGCCTTTCGGCCGCCCTGCCGGCAGACTCCGCCGAGCACTTGGTAGTCTTGGACCGGCTGCGCCGGGGCATTCGACGGAGAGAGAAAGAGCGGATCTTTCCGCTCGAGACGGTCCGGATCCGCGAGCTCTGGGGCGGGCTCCGTCGCCTGGCCTTGGTGGCGGACTTCCTCGCTGCCCCCGCGGCCCAGCAGCGCCGCGTGTGCGATGAGGTCGCGTGGGCCGCAACTGGCAACCTCCGGAAGTACGTCAGCGATCTCCTTTCGCATTAGATCGGTTCTTCGTGAACGCGCTGTCCCCGGCGGGACATCTCGTGCCTGGCGCCCCCGCGGAGCGCCTGGCATTTGCGCAGTTCCAACATCGATTTTCCTCTCGGCGAGAGCACGTCTGGGCGCTTGGCGCATCTCCGCCAACCCGCCTCCGGTTATTCCCCATATCCTAAGTGTGGGGTTCTTGTCATTGTTTGCACGGGGTCCCGTTCGCGGAATTTTGCGGGGATGTCTCGGGCGGTTTGGCCGTTTTCTGGCCCAGCATCTCTCGCTTTCGGAGCAGATTTGGAGGATGTCTCAGGCGATTCGCTGGTAACAGCACTCCTAAGGGGGGCGGCGGGGGCGTTTGCACGGGGTCCCGTTCGCGGAATTGTGTGGGGATGTCTCAGGCGGTTTGGCCATTTTCTGGCCCAGCATCTTTCGCTTTCGGAGCAGATTTGGAGGATGTCTCAGGCGATTCGCTGGTAACAGAACTCCTGAGGGGGGCGGCGGGGGCGTTTGCACGGGGTCCCGTTCGCGGAATTTTGCGGGGATGTCTCAGGCGGTTTGGCCGTTCTCTGGCCCAACATCTCTCGCTTTCGGAGCAGTTTCGGAGCCCGCGAACAGGAAGGGGAGGAGGAGGAAGAGGAGGAGGAGGGGGAGGAGGAGGCTGGGGAGGACGAGGAGGAGGAGGACGAGTCTGAGGAGGGGGGGAGGACGAGGACGAGGAGGAGGAGAAGGAGGCGAGCATGAGCACGATGATGATGAGGATGATGATGACGATGATGATGATGATGATGACGATGATGATGTTGATGATGATGATGATGAGCATGAGCATTAGCAAAAGCAGGAACGGGATGATGATGATGATGACGAGGAGGAGGAGGGGGAGGAGGACGCGGGCAACTCGGGTGGCCAGGGCCAGACGATCGAAGTCAGAGGCTCCACAGCATTAGGTTTTACTCAGATGCTTCCGCCTCGCTCTCCTTCGCCCTCCACTCCTTCACCCTCCTTCATTCAGATTCAGTCATGCTCAGACTCAATCACACGCAGACTCACTCGCACCCAGACTCGCTCATACTCAGATTCAAACTCACTCACACGCAGACTCGCACTCAGAATCGCTCATACTCAGACTCGCTCCTGCTCAGACTGATCGCCCCCTGGTCTGCTCAAACGCCTGGGAGAAACAAGTGATCACACAGTTTGGCATTATTGTTCGGAGCGCGCGACGACCCTATGCGGTTGATCCGTGTCTCTTCAGTGTCGGCGCCATTGTGGCGACCGGCACTACGAACAGTAATTCCTTATTGTGTAATTATTCACGCTTCGCGTAACCCCGCCAGCCCATTCAGAAGCTCTGCCCAGGAAAGCTGACGGGACATGGCAAGAAGAGACATATAGTGAACCAAAGTGGGCAAGGAAAGGAGGGTGGTCCTCTGGGAGCTCTATTGGAGGGTCTTGGGGTTCTCTTGGGGCTCTGGGGGGGGGGGGTCTTGGGACCCTCTTGGGGCCCTCTTGGGGCTCCTTTGGGTGCCTCTTGGGAGCCGTGGAGGGCCTCTTGGGGCCATCTTGGAGGTTATCGATCAAAAGAGGAGGGGTCCTATATCTTGGTCCCCCTCCCTGGGGCCCTCAAAACCGCCTCTTGGGGCGCTCTTGGGGCCCTCTGGGGGCGCTCTTAGGCGCTCTTGGGGCCGTCTTGGGGGCCTCTTGGGCCCCTCTTGGGGCCTTTTTGGGCCATCTTGGGGCCATCTTGAGGCCTCAGAAGCGCATCGGAAGAGAAACGGCGAGAAGGCCAAACTCATCAATTTTCTTCAAGTTTTTGGACGGATTTTGGGCTCTTGGAGGGGTCCTGAGGGGTCTCCGAGAGCTCTTGGAACCGTCTTGTGACCCTTTTGGGGCCTCTTGGAGGCATGATGGAGCTCATCTTGAGCGATATTGCGCTGTCTTGAGCCATCTTGGAGGCCATCTTGGAGCATCGGAGGCCCTCTTGGAGCCATTTTGGGCCATCGTGGGCGCTCTAACCCATCGCGGGGGCCCCCGTCCAGGTCCAGGGGAGGGGGTAGGGGGAGGGGTAAACCCCTCCCCGAAGGGGAAGAAGGGGTTGTGGAAGAGGAAAGAGGAATCTCGTTAGACCGCCTGTCGCCCAAAGGGCTGGCGGGATTTTTAATGTTGTGCAAGGACGATTCGGGTTTTCGTCGGCGTTGGCTGTTACGTCGGCGTCGGCGTCGTCGTCGTGGTCGTGGCCGTCTTCGTTCGATTCGGGTTCGTCGTCGCCTTCGCCGTCGCCATCGCCGTCACCGTTTGCGTCGGCGTCTGCGTCGCCGTCGGCGTCGTCGTCGTCGTGGTCGTGGCCGTGGTCGTCGTCATCTCGACGGAGACGGCGTCGGTGAAGAGTTCGTATCTTGAGTCGTCTGTGTATTGGACTCTCTGTGTCTTGGGTCGTCTGTATCTTGAACTTTTTGTATCTTGAGTCGTATGTATCTTGAACTCTCTGTGTCTTGAACTCTCTGTATCTTGAACTCTCTGTATCTTGAACTTTCGTCGTCTGTAATTTGAACCGCCTGTATCTTGAACGTCAGCATTTCGAGCCGTCTGTATCTCGGATCGTCTGTATCTTGCTCCGTCTGTCCCGAATCCTCTGTACTATGGCCGTCGGCGTCGTCGTCGGCGGCGTCGTTATCGTCGTCGTCGTCGGCGCCGTCGTAGATTGTACCTTGAACCGTCTGTATCTTGAACGTCTGCATCCCAAATCGTGTTTATCTTGAGTGGTTTGCATACCGAGACATGTGTATCTTGAATCGTACGTATCTTGCGTCGTCGTCGTCGTCGGCGTCAGCGGCACCGTCTGTATGTTGAATCGTTTGTTCATGGACCCCGTATATTTCCGATCGTCTGTATTTTGAGTCGCTTCTATATTGAACAATATGTGTATTGAATCTTTTGTATCTTAAACCATACATATATTGAATCGTATGCGTCTTGCGCTGGCGCTGTCGGCCTCCGTGGCTTTGGCGTCGTTGGATTCGGCCTCCTCGTAGGTACCTTGGATCCCCGCACCTTGGACGAGTATGTTCTGAATTGTCTGTATCTTGCGTCCCTTGTACCTGCAACCATGTGTATCTTGAATCGTCTGTATCTTGAGCCATGTGTATCTTGAACTGTTTGTATATTGCATCGTGTGTGTATTGAGGCTCCTCAGCTCCTCTAGGGGCTCCCGTGGCCTTTCATTTGGGATCCCGCTACATTGGGCTCTGGGGTGATGTCTACTGCTTGGATGTGCCCACAGAGGCACTGGCGGACCTGGAGAGGGCGCCGAGAGCCTCGCGTCCGGGGCTCCTCCCGGCTAGCTACGGCGAGAGTTTGGGTACATTATCGTGCGGCATAAGGGCGGGTGGTGGCGGAAAAAGAGGGAGGAGGCGCAATTTAGATAAGCTTTGCGAGTCCCAACAAGCCCATTCAGAAACGATGCTCATGAGAGCTACCCGGTTGATGGACGCGGGCAAGCGTGTAGTGAAGCATGGATGCTTCGCGCGATGGTTTCCATTACAAAACTTTTGCCACCTAGCTTCTACCACATATCCAACTGCCTACGGCAAGCCCCGTCACCGTGCCTTGGTTGTGGGTCTCAGGCCTCTTGGATGTTCGTTGGGATATCGTGGGTCTCGGGGGCCCATTGGAGGCAGTTTTGAAGCCTCTCAGGGGCTGTCTGGGGGCCGCTTTGGGGCCACTTTTGGGGCCTCCTGGGGGCCAGTCGGAGCTTCCAGGACCCCTCTTGACTCTGCTGGGGGCCTCTTCGGGCGGCAGGCTCGAATTGTCGGTCCCTCTTCATCACGCGCCCTCTCCATCCCCTGCTCCTGCTGGTGCTTTCCATTCCCCCTCCCTAATCCGCTCCCCTTCCTTTTCCCCTCGCCATCCAGCTGCTTTCTTTCCCAGCTTCTGGAGTTCGCTGCTCACTCATGGGCCGTCTGCTCGCGCACGCGGTGGCCCCCGCTCCTGCAGTGCAGCGAGCAGTGGAGGGGAGGGAGAAGCAAGTCACATAGAAATTCTTGACGCTTCGCGTATCCCCACCAGCCCATCCAGGAACGATGCCCAGGAGAGCTGACGATGCCCAGGCGAGCTCTTGGGGCCCTCTTGGGGCTCTTTTTGGGGGTCTGGGAGGCCTCGTGGGGCCGTCTTGGGCCCCATTGTTCAAAAAGGGGGATCCTTAATTCACATCGCCCCCTCGGAGGCTCAAAGATGCCCTCTTGGGCCCCTCTTCGGCCGCTCTTGGAACGCTCTTGGACGTCACTGGGGGGCCTCTTGGGCCACCTTGGGGCCATCTTGAGGCCTCAAGAGCACATCGGAAACAAAAGAGCGAGCAGACAAACAACATGTTGTTTTTCTTGGGTTTTCTCGCCGTTTTTGCTCTTTGGGGGGTCCTCGGAGGGCTCGGAGGGCACTTGAAACCGTCTTGGGGCCGTCTTGGAGCCTCTTGGATGCCTGTCGAAGGCTATCTTGAACTGTCTTGAGCCATCTTGGAGGTCATCTTAGGCCCTCTGGGGCACTCTTGGAGCTATCTTCAGCCGAAAAGGACCCTCTGCCACCTCGGGCCCGCCCCCGTCCAGACCCAGGGGAGGGAGAGCAGGGGAAGGAGGACTATCCAGCTGCCTGCGGCAAGTCCCGCCGCCGTGCCAGTCCAGCATGATCGGTGGCGATTGTTCGAGAGGGCACCGGAGGCCTTTTGGATGTTCGTCGGGATATCGTGCAAGGCATCTCGGGAGCCTTTTGGAAGCACTTTGGAGGCCTCTTGGGGGCTGTCTGGGGGCCTCTTGGGGGCCTCTCGGGTTCTCTAGGGGCTTCTCGGAGGCTTCTTGGGGACTCCTGGGGGCCTCTTTGGGCAGAATAATCGAATTGTCGATTCATGTTCCCCCTCTTGGGCCTCTCTTGGGGCTGTCTGGGGGCTCTCTTGGGCTGTATTCGGCGCCTCTTGGGCCGTTTTGCGGCCCTCTTGGGCCGTCTTGAGGCCCTCTTATCGTCTT